ATCTTTTAACAGAAAGTATTTTCCTCCTCAAAGATCAATTATATACTTCTGTGAGTATGATACGTGAACTGTCAAAGGAGCTTACGAAAATTCGTCCAAAAATGTGGACAAGATTTTATGATTGCAATAGTTTCTACTAAAAATATAATACTTGCGGTCAGAAATGTAATTGTGATAATTGATCCGGAAATTCAAAAGGCTAGAAAATTGATTTTTTGAATTTTCGACTGGAAATGACTCAAATATTAACTAAATTGACTCTCGATGTCATAATACGATTATCAGAATGCATTATCGAGTAGGAGTTATTTCGTTCCGCTTTCAATGTCGCATGACCGCGCTTTTGGAATGAAATGAAACCCCGAAACTACTCGATAATGTATACTGCACAATCATATTATGACACCCAGAGTCAATTTGGTTCGTATTTAAGTCATTTCTAATTCAAAATTTTAAAAATCAATTTTTGAGATTTTTCAACTTCCGATTCAATTTTGACTATGACAACCACGATTTCGATCCCAAGCATTATACTTTTTTCTTATTAAATCCTCTTGACGAGTAGAAACTATTATACACTGGGAAAAATTTCTGGTAATAATTATCCAGCCTGTGTTGTAGTTACTAAATCATTTAGTGAAATAGTATCAACTAAATATAGAGATGAATATGACCAAATCATTTGGTAACTATAAACCAAGAATCATGGTAATTGTTATTAAGGCTTGATTATAATTACGCAAAGTATGGTAATAATTACCAAAATTATCATATTAAAAATATTTTCGTAATAATGCTTGATTCCAACTATGATGATAGAATGAGGATGTATTAGGATCGCGGCGGTCGGGACCTGCGTCCTCTTTTCGTTCCGGTGAGAGAAAAACGTCGAAAGCGCGGTTTGCTAAGGCCGGGAATCAAACCTGGATCTTTTTAGTTGCCGAGCTTTAACTGACTGCTTTAACCACTGAACTAACTGATGCTTCATACATCACTAACATAAAGATAACATTCAAGTTGCCGTTTAAGTTGGTAATTATTATCTTATTTGATATTAATTATTACTAATGTATTTAATACTATTTATTAAATAATTTAATTGATTTGACTAGATAAAAAATTTATGTTACTAACTATTTTGTAATTATTATCACACAATTGGTAACATTTATATTGGTAACTATTTACCAAATAATATGTTAAAACGCACAACCAAATGGCTGTGATAAGTATTACCAAACTTTTTTTTCAATGTAATCATAAAATTTTGTCCACTTTTTTGAACAAATTTCAGTAAGGTCCTTAATTTCATTTCTTCGTTTACTTTGTCCGACAGAGTGTCTGAACGTTGCGTGTGTCTTGCCGTTAAATAGGACTGCGCGAATCTCCCGTTTATCAACGCAATCGCGAAATTCATTAACGTCGAATTTTCAGTTCGGGAGGCGGTCGATATACACCTATTAGGGAAAAAATCGCGAATCTGCGTACCACGCCGCATCGACGGTGCAATCCAAGTAATTGGCAATTTCCCGTTAAAACGCAACCATTTTGTCAGTGTTTCGTAGCGGAGGGCTCGCCGTTTCGTCCTTTTTGCCACGAGAAATCGCACGTTTAAACTGCAGCTAATGGAGCATTTATTGACCGAAGCGCTCCTCCGCAGGACGAATTCGATTAAAGTTCGACGCGATTCGATTATCAGGAGATACGTTTTCCCGATTCCGTCCTAGCAACGCGTCTGAAAATCTTCGTAACCTTCGTCGAGAGAAAACTCGCGACGCGTTCGACCAAATACATATTCGTGCATAAAAATATGTTTTCCCCGTCGCTATGGCTGCGCGTATATTTTCCCATTATTACATCGACGTGTGATGTACGCAGAGAACACCAAAAAAAAAAAGACAAAATATATATAATCTTATCCTTAGCGGAATCCTCTTGTAGAACATATTGGCTCCAAGAGGATTCTTTTGAAGCCAAAAGGAAAATATTCTAACAGTTCCAAAAAAAGAATTCCAGCCGCAAAGTGCGATTTTCTGTAATCCTATAACTAAAACTTTTATCGGGAATTTTTATTTCTTTTCTAGTGAAATGGATTGTTATTCGGAAATCTACTATTCTAAGCTTTTTTCTCTTTTGAATCGAGAGAAATGTCTACTTGAAGCAAAATGTTCTCTTACTCTTTTAGGAAAGTAAAATCTTAACAGGAGATATATTTAGTTGGATCCTTTAATAGAAAACATATATCTTAATAGAAAAGAACTTAAATACAATTCCTTAATAGAAAAAATTTCTATTAAAAATAAGACTTGTATTCTCTGCAGATAAAGGACGAAATTCCTCTGATTTTACGAATATTGTGCTTAGAATATTATTCTTTTGGTTTTAGGAGAATCCTCTTGAAGCCATATGTAAGAGGATTCTACTGAGGACGAGATTATATTTTCTTGGATGAACATTTCGTAACTGGTTATCTTCGTTCCAAGAAAAATTCGACTCAGATTTGGTCGGAAGAAAGTTGCAACACTTCAAATTTGAAATCGCAAATTGTGACAAATTCTGTTCAACTTGAAAGATAAAGAGTGATTATTTGAATATTATTGTTAATTAGCCATAGTTATGTGATTCAACTCACAAAATTGGAATTTTTCACTTTCTGCTGTCAATCGGTTCATACGTCTTTTTATATCAAGCAAAAGAAGTTCTTATGGGCGTTTGAAATTAATTACAGTTTTTATTTTTTGTCAATTGCGTTAGTTTTTTTACTAGTTACACCTGAATATTCTTGAATTGGAAAGGAAATCGAACATGCTTGACCTCTCCAACGATTGCAAAGCATCTCAGTGCTATTCGCACTTTTTCAATCGTGCATCAAATTTTCATCTCTACTTTCCTCGAAATGCACTTCACGTGGGTTTGGACCGTTCCTGCTTAACCACGGCCAATTAATTGTGTTCGCGCGAGTAATGAAATATCAAAGTACGAACCACCGATAATGACAAACGCACGAAAAAATTATTATTACGCGAGACAAACGCGTAATAATAATTTTTGTCACTCATTTGAGCAATATGGAAACGCGTTCTCACTTAATTATTCACTTTTACATGTCGCGTAATTGGATAGTCGTATAATGACTTATAAAATAAAATGGAGATTTATACAGCGCGTACACACCAAAGGGAGAAGAAGAGAATGACAATGGTAAATATTGTTCGGTTCTCTTTTGGAGGGGCCTGTAGATCGAGAATTACGCGCTCCGATAATCGTCAATCGATTCGCCATTAGTGCCCCAATCGTCGGCGCTATAGACTGCAGGATAACATTTGAATATTTTGGTCGACACTGGCGCGTATTCGCCAATGTTTTTTCCCGCCTTCGTGTTGCCTTTCGCACCGCGTGATCGTTATTAAACAAGATTATATATCAATTCAATTGTCACTGGCGCTGATGTGAAACCAGATTACCTACATTTTTAGTATTAGTATTATTATTATTATTGTTGTTGTTATTATTATCGGCTTGAATCGTGATAGAAATGGCACGATATTACGCTACCGTGAAAAGCGAGACTTTTACGGACTTTTTCAACGAAAGGAGACTGTCAAATTTGGGCAGAATCAAATTTCTGCCTCATTAGAGGACGGTAACTTTAGTGAACCATAAATTTACATTATATGGGTTGTCTAATAAACAGAAATCATAATTATATCACTAATAACCTGCGGGAACATTTTGAAAACCGTGCTATTATATAGCTCGATGATTCGTTGATGTGCGTTCTCTAATGATGTAACTAATCCTGTTTCTAATTTACTTCCCATTCAGTATTATTATATTACAAAAACTGTTATAAAATTATGATTTTTGTATGTAAGATAATCCATATAATGTATATTTGATAATCCATATAATCTATATTTGATAATTCATACAATGTAAATTTATGATCTACTAAAGTTACTTCTAATAGGCAGAAATCGAGCTAAATTGATACTCTTCTTTAACGTCTTCAACGATACTGACATATATGTGTATATACATTTGGGTATTAATAGTCATTACTTGAAACTAGCTTCAGGTGAGACGTTCGGATTTAAATTTAGTCAGATGTGAATTCTTAGCTGAATCGCGATTAAGGAGTGTAATAAACGAAAGTATAATAAAATAAAGTGAAAATGAGATATATATTATGCGAAAGATACAACAAAAAACTCAAATCTAACTCTAAATTTATTTATATCTGAGTATCTCACGCGGAGGACAAATTTCAAGCAATGAGTATTAATATGGATCTTAGAGTATTAATATGGATCTTAGAGACGTTTAATTTCTCTCCTGTTTCGAATGTTATGGACGGAAAAATAGCGAGTACTATCGCGGATAAATATTCATCGCGAGATAAGAAACAGAGAAATCTCACCATATAACTGACAGATGTCACATTGAACTATAATTGAACTATTTTCCTGCGATTGTAATAAGTTCATCTCTAAAGAGATCTAAAGGTCAAACAATACAGACTTTATATTGTGTATTCAGCCCCACATCGGGGATTAGGAAGATACACAAATTTGCCTGCTTCTTTTATATATCAAATTTTCATTCCCTACACGGAAAAAATAATTTGCTGCAGCAGTAAACTAATTTGCTACATATGGACAGTTAAATATAATTCGCTGTGTTAGCTATTTTTCTTTGCTGCAGGAATCTATTTCCTTGCTATGAAAAAATTTTCTCGTACAGCAAGACAAGTGGCTAACGTAGCAAATTTGCTACAAATGGACAACTAAACATAATTTACTGTTTTAGCTACTTTTTTTGTTGCGGGAGCAGATTTTCTTGTTATCATAGCAAGGAAATTGACTCCTGCAGCAAAGAAAAAGTGGCTAACAAGCAAATTATGTTTAGTTGTCCATATATAGCAGATCTTTTTTTCCGTGCATGTTTGATCGATTGTCGATCAGTTATCTAAAGTAAATTGTTGATCTTTTATGTTTCAGGGACTACTACTATGACAGGTGAATGTCTCGAACTTTCCTTCAGCGAACAGGTATACAATCAATATCGTAATGTTAATTGGGTTCGCGCCACCATTCGTATCGACTGAGCGATCAACGTTGAAAATGTACGCACAATAGCCGGAAGCAGTGCTCGACGAATTAACAACGGACAGCAAGCGCGGGATTTCTAATAACCTTTTCGCGCAGTGACGCGCTTTAACTGAAAACCATTCGTTCCAATGCGAGGCGATATTCACGTGTCAGTTGGGCCAGCGCGGTGCCAGAAAGATATAGAGATTAAAATAGAACGCATATAGATTATCGAAATGTCGCGGCATCGCGCAGTAGCTGCGAGATTATTTCAACGAATATAGCATATTTGAATAAAAACAGAACAAAGAGGGAAGAATAACGCTACCAAAGAATAAAAGATTACGCGTAAAGGCTGTTACACACTAGCGTTATGTTTTGTATTATTTTTTAGCCGAGTCTAAATTTTCATCGGATGACGGCATTTTTATCCGTCTAACCTCGATAGGAAAATAACCAAAATTCGCATTAAAGTGTCGAAATAAGTTACTCTCAGTAATAACTCGGTTAGTGACAATTTTGTTATCAAAATATTTAACTATTTAAATATTTTGTTGTCAAAGCTTACCGCAAAAAGAGCATTGGCAGTTTCGAAATAAAGAATTTACGGTCTGAAGAGGATTATTAGAGGCATTCGTGAGGAACTTATAGTAGATTTGAAATTTCGACTCGGAATATATCCTCATAAGATCTTCATAGAAAATTTTTGAAACTGTCTTTTTCTTGAAAATGCAAATAAATTATAAAAACAAGACGAATTAAAATGAGATCGTGTGAATACAGGAACCGGATAAATCCGAGTAATCGGATAGTGATTATTTCGCGGACAATTCAGATGTTGAATCGTGTCTCCGAAATTTTGGAGAGCCTCAAACGGTAGTACGTAACCGCCTTTACTTCCTTCGCCGAAAATCAGTGCAATTTATGTCTACATGTATGCAATAGTAATACACTGTGCCAATGTCGAAATCAGACACTCACCATTCCACGTGGAAAAAGCTCGCTGAAGTCCAACAACGAAACTCGCCGCTGCATCCCCCGAATTGCACCCTCACCGCATCCGGAACTTCGCCGCGGCCAGCCTCCGACCGGCATTGTCCCACGTCATTCCACGTAGATTGCACTCCAGTTCGTGTTCGTACTTCACTCGCGACGCGATTAATATTCACGTTTTAACGGTGTTTAACGACGTGACGAGTATCAACTCGACAGCACCAATGAGAGAAATTGTTGCGTTTCTAAGCCGAAAAAAGGAGGAAAGTATCGCAATTGCAATTTGCAACTGCAATTTTTTTTATTTTTATATGTATATTATTTTTTTGTATGTTTTTTTTTATTTTTACATGTTTTATGTACATGTAACTTCTATGTGTATATTATTCAATATAATATTAATTCAACATAAAAATATTAAGTGGGATTATTTGTCAGTTAAATGGAATTATTGTCCAGTTGAAATGGTCAAAATGTGAAAATTATAATAGTTTCGAGAGAGAAAAAAGAGAAGGGGGATACGAATCTCCTGAAAAGTTATGATTTTGCAGTTGCAATATTTCTCATCGGCACCGTCGATTCATCCTAGAACGGTTTCCCGAATCGAAATTTTGGTCCTACTTTTTCGACTACTTGAACTTTCTAACGTCTGTATATTCTGAAAAGTCAATGTGTGTTTGATACATAGAAAGAACGATAAATTGATTTTGACTTAAAAAGTGTAACGTAAATTACATATTATTACATAATCTTACGTTTTTTGGGTTAACAGCAGTAAATATACGGAGAAATATAATTTCTTTTCATGTAAATTTTTTTCAACTTTACCGTGTTTTTAGTTTAAGAATAGACTGTTAGTAAAGCTTATCTTGCTAAGAAACATAGCAAATTTCGCGGAATATCTTACACGTACGTTAAATAGCATCAAAAGGAGTAGGCGTCGGAGTGTCAGAAAAAGGCGTCGGGGCCAAAAGAGCGGGATCCGCATTCTCGACTCGGGTGAATCGCGCATAGAATTGATTGCGGCACAAAGTGCGAATCGAGATTCGCGGGTGATACGCGATCGCGCGACGCTAATGTGAGAGAAGAGCGGAATTGCGAACGGAGGATCGATCTCGCGCGAAGAATCCCCCTCGGTGAACGCGCGCGCGGAAAATAATCGCGGCTGGCGCGGAATTCTCACGCGTCGCGGCTTCGCCGCGAAGATTATTTCGCGATATATGCGCGACGAGATCACCTTATAATGCCCGGGCGAAGTCTCGCCGCGCAACGCTCGCGCGAAGATTGCACACGCCGCAATACTTACGCGCGGAGACAACTACGTGATATTTTCGCGAAGGAAGGAACTCCCGAAGATACTCGCGCGAATTTCGATCTAACGAACGATCCACGGCCGGGAGGAGCGTGTCCGCAAATAGCGACGCGAAATATGCGCGCGAAAGCAGGAATCGCGCGGCGATCGCCGAATTTATCGACGCGATTAACATTCATATTTTAACGGTGCTTAACGACGAATACGGTAACTCGACGGCACCAATTAGAGGAATTGTTGCGTTTCTAAGCCGAAAAAAGGAGGAAAGTATTTTAATTGCAATTTGCAACTGTATTTTTTTTACTTTTATGTATCTTTTTTTATGTATTTTTATGTGTTTTTATTATCTTTTATGTATTTTTTTTATTTTTATGTACGCTGTAAAAAATCTTGCGTACACAATACGTAAACAAATGTTCTAAAAAGTCCACTCTAAATTTTGTGTAGAAAATAACTCATTCATATGTTTATTAGTGTCTTATTTATATTATGTACTAGTCTATACATAATGTAAATAACACACGAATGAACATATAAATGAATTATTTTCGACACAAAATTCAGAGTGGATTTTTTTGGAGTATTTGTTTACATACTGTGTACGCAAGATTTTTTACAGAGTATATGTGTGTAACATCTATGTGTATATTATTCAATATAATATTAATTCAACATAAAAATATTAAGTGGAATTATTTGTCAGGTAAATGGAATTATTGTTCAGTTAAAATTAATCAATGAGAAAATTACAAAACTTTCGAGAGAGAAAGAGACAGGAGGAAGATACGAATCTTCTGAAAAGTTACGATTTTGCAGTTGCATAATTTCTCATCGGCATCGTCAATTTATCCTAGAACGGCTTCGAAATTTTGACCTTACTTTCTCGACCTTAACTGTCTGCATATTCTGAAAACGAGCGAAATAAAACCGCGATCGTATCGCGAAACTCCTATCTCGCATATTGCATTAAAAAGTCGGAGATTAATAATCGCGAAAACGATCGAAATCTATTAACGAGCACACGAGCAAAATGATCGCGTCCGCCGCGAAATCCCGCGGTAATCCGCCGGCAAATCGCGTGGCGTGATCGTGACGCCAATGTATACAACGTGCGCTACGAATAAATCGTGAAAACTGAAAAATCGCGCCGCAACCGTCGAATTTGTTGAAGCGCGGCGAATTGTGCGGTTTTACGGAATTATTGCGCGATATTACTATATGTGCAAAGTGTTTACGAGCGTGTACATTATATTACGGAGATTCGTAACTAATCCGCATTTTATAATTGCACTCTCGCACAATTCGATAATCACCATGCGACCTGTATGCGTGCGCGCCATTTTGTTGTTTATAATAAAATTTAGAGTCCGTCCATAGAGAGATATGTAGAAATATCTAGAATAAACAAGGAGTGGTCGATTTCGCAATCTCCCATGAGAACGTAGAGCGGATTGAGATGAACAAAAACGTCCGTTTTGCAAAAATCGCAATAATGATCGACATATTAATTTCAGAGCTTAATTTTAGATTTTAATTAAAGAAAATTTGCGAATAATCACGGACGATATGGTAGAGCAGCTTTTTTTACGTGTTGCGGCGCAATTTTGACGCACGATTTCTCCGCGATGTATCTTGCCTGATCGAAAGGTCGAATTTTATTTGACATTGTTCGTATTATTGTGGGAAAACTGAATCCTTGACCGAGGAATAGTGGTACGTAACAATAATCGATCGTATACCTCAATGACAATTATGTTTTATCTATCCAAAGTCAAGCTCTCTTATTTTCTTTTCTCATTTTCTTTTCTTCATTATGTTTAAAACACTTCTTCGCGAAGCTATGTTCCTTTATCGTTATACGACAAGGTACTCCGTACATGAGAGTAATTTCTATGTAAAAGAAAAAGAGAAAAAGAAAATCGCGAATCTTTTCTTTGCAAAGCTCTTCGCTCTGTAATTATACGACAAAGCAGTCTATGTGAGAGTAATTTCTATGTAAAACATTATAATGCAATATAGACTCTCTGTATCAATTATACTCTTATTTTAATTTACTTAGCATTATCATCGATTATTTCATATGAAATAATTTCAAAGGATTAGCATTTTGATATTATTGTAACGCAAATTTGTACGATGCGATTAAACGCAGGAATATTAGAGGATTTGTAAAAAATTATTAAACAGCACCATGATGGACGAGCGGAAATTTATAGCGAATATCGAATCTTGTCAAAGCGAAAAAGAGGGATATGATTTGTACCACGTTCGCTCAACGGCCCGTTTTCCCACGCGTCAAAATCAAAATAAAGCAAAAATCAAATCAAGTGATGTAAATTGCACTGAAATTCACACGGAAACGAAGCTAACCCACCACCTCAAGCTCTCCTCGAAGAGAGTGCAGGGCTCGACCCACCACCGCCCCAAAAATCTTTGCCCATTTCTCACTCACCAGTGAAGCAGCTGGAATTCGGGGTCGGCCACGTAGCTTTCGCTACAACCAGATGTGGAACAAAGAATACAGTTTTGCCGGTTAGAATTAGGGATTCGGCTTAACGAACAAGCTCCGCATAGATACCGGTGGATTAGCCCTTTACGGTCGTAATTCGAGCCTCGTTCTGACGGCTGTATCTCGTCTTTCGACCGCAGAGGGGAGGTAGAGATAGTCGGTGAAACGTATCTTCCAGCCGACCCAGCTCGGCCCGAACCGGATCCTCCGGTGCTGCATCTGCATCCACCAGAGCTACACATCCGTCGCGGGGAGGGGGAGGTGGAGGGCGCCTCCGCCAGATCTGCAAAAATTATGTGTTCTCGGTTAATCACTGATCACTTTTCATACAAAGCGCACGATCTTATTATTGCAATACACTCAGAAAGAAATATCTAAGGCATTAACAGTCGTTACTTGAAGTTTCTCTCACGTGAGATACTCAGATTTTCACTCAGAATTAGGCCCAAGTTTTTCAGTTGAATCATATATGTAATATTAAATCTGCAATCGCGACTAAGAGTCGGTTATTTGAGGATAGATTAAACTTAGATTTCAACTTAAACTCTGTTTGAACAAAACCAACGCATTGTTAGAATAGAACTTGAATCCAATTTTAAACTGCTATTGAAAAACCGGCCCTAAATCATTCAACTCTGAACTCAGATCTGAGTATCTCATTTGAAAGAAGTTTCAAGTAACGACTATTAATATGGATCTAAGAGATCTTAAGCGATTGGTGCTAATAACACATTTACTTATACTAATATACATAATTTCACATTGAGAAAAGATTTCTTGCAAATGAGAAAATATATTTTTTCCTCTAAAACGCCTCTTAAAACGCTTTTCTAGAAAGCAATTGTTTACTCTACTTGTACACACTGAGAAATAAGAAACGAGTTACACACACTGAGAAAAAAAATACTTGAAAACTTATTCGTGCGGGATAAAAGTTTATTTCTGTGAAATAAAATTCATACCTCTTGTTTATTCCACAGAAACAAATTCTACATCCCGTCCAAATAAATATTCAAGCATCTTCCTTCTCAGTGCGCAAAGGAATTCAGATTTAGTATAAGTGGATATATATTATTAGTGTCCAAAATAAATATGCGTTATTTTCAGATATTTCTTAGTGTAAAAGAGCGAGAAAGAAACGAGTGTTTACCCTTTAATCACATCAGTGCTTACGATCATGTCCTGACATGGCACTCGCGACACGATTTTACACACGATTAAAATATCGAGTACGATAAGAAGAAAAGACACGACGACTATACAACAATTGAGTGATCGTCGCCTTCCGACTGAGATACGCTCCCAAATTCATGATAGATTTGGAAGAATATTCTACCGCGACAAATTCGGAAAAGTGGAGAATAATGAGAGACACGTGCGGCACGTATGATCTCGCGCGCGAGACTGTTGTCGTACCGAGCATTACGCGTACGTGACAAGTGCGTGTAGTCTTGGAGGTCGCGCGACCTTCAGCCACGGCGCGTCGAGACACGGCGCTTTTGGACAGACTATTACGCAATCAGCTTATTACATTTTCACACTGCATTACAATGCTCGATATATTGCGGTATATATTGTAACATTTAATTATTTAATACATGTCCCCGCAGGGATCAGCTTTGCTCTCTATGCATCATACGACTCGGTTAATTAACAGAATCTAATAATTATGCAGGATGTTCCGTCGAATGATACTTTGATAATATATTCGGAAGCTGAAGTCGGAAATCCTGGTACAAAAATGTTTAAATATCAATGTTCCGAGCTATTAAAGGAATATAATTGCAATAGAATTAAGTATATATTCGCAAAGATTTTTGAGAGATTATGTTAAAATGATTAAGCTTTACTTGAAGGGAAACAACCATTTAAGTTGCTGAAACTCGTAGAGATCAACTAATCAAAACGCAAGTGTGATATTTTTAGAATTTATGCGAGAATTATTAAATATTTTTTTAGTATTTTATAGAAATATACAGAGAGAAGATATTTAAGAAAGAAAAATTATTTATTCGGTGAATACTAACATATTTATTAATATCTTTATTAACTACCATAACATTTTTATTAACATATTTATCCTGTTTGAGGGACTTCACGCATTTTGTTCTCTTTAAATGTTTGTAATATCTTCGGAATTTTTTTTTGTTATTATATCTCAATGTTCCATAGAATCATAAGGAATTACAAGGTTTGAGAAATTATAAAAATATAATTAAAAAAAAGAAGAATAAATTTTAGCAAGTTTCATGTTTTCAATGACAGGTTACTTACACTGATATAAAATATTTATCAAATTAGGAGATATACATTTTTTGAGAATCTCTGATTCATATGAAAGCAATTACTTATTCTATTTAAACAAAAGAATGTAGATTCAAGTAAATATGCTATTAGGATTCATCGAACATTTTTTCTTTTCTAGATGTTTTCTCTCAGCATATGTAAAACGTTTACAACACTAGTAAGAAAATGCAAATTCTATTGCTAGCAACCGTATTTGTGTCCAATATAATATAAATCATACAAATGCTAATGAATGTGTTTAATTGTGGAAATTTAAAAGGTTTTATCAAGTTATGGTATCTAACGATTATATCTAATAATTTTTAATAATTTTCTGCTTAGATGCTTGAATGTATGTTTATTAATCATTCTCAACACATACAGTGTGTCACTAATTAAGAGAGAAATGGTTAAAACACACATTTAATATGAAAATTATTTCTGTAGAAATACTATGTTCTTCTTACCTACCTTTCTATTACTTCAACCTCTTGCGTTCAAGCATCAAGGAGCACGATTGCGTTTCTTCTCTTGTTTCATAATTCGGCGTTGTCGCGCAATTTTGTTGCTCAGAATGCAAGAATAGTTTTCCTGATACGTTTGCGTAGAATATTTGATTGTGTTTTTATCACTCCCTTCTTTCACATCTGGACAATCAAACGACTACAGACAATGCGTCTATTTTTAACCATTGTAACGCGAGACTGTAATGAGTTTTATTATTTACCGATGCCACTTGAATGCCGCGAACGTTTCTCAATCGACGCACGCTTTACAAGCATCATCCTGTAATTGAGGTTATATCTGCAGATTGCGTCTATTTTTCGTCGCGAAGATTAATGAGCTTTGCTATTCACTGGCATCATTTGAACGTCTATGAACGTTTCTCGATCGACACACGCTCCATAAGCATCACCCTGCAAATGAGGTTATATCTGCAGATTGCGTCTATTTTTCGGCGGTTGTCGCGAAGACTAATGAGCCTTGCTAGATGACTAGACGTCTCGATTTTTTCGGGAGTCATTTTTCTCGATTTTTCACGCTTTGTCCCGAATTTCTTCGAATGCTATTCGGGACACCGATTTGTCATCATTTCCAATGATTGGTCTGTTCTTTTCAGCTAACTGCTGAATTGATGCAATAAGTGAGACAAGTATATTTTTTTCACACTCTAACTTATTATATCAGTTCAGCAGTGCAGCTGAAAAGAACAGGCCAGATTTTGTCAAATAATTTTCGGATCTTTTTACCTTCCCTCCCCGCCCCTCTCCTCCCCATTTCATACATTTATGAAGTATCCCGATTCAGAGCTGGGAAATCTGGTCACCTTACCTATATATCGCGAGGAGAAACGAGAAGATTACTTACAAATGACGTCTTCATGATACGGCCCGGCGATCGCACATCGCTATTCTCGACACTTCCGAGACTTATTAACGCGCGAGACTCACTTTCGACGGATAAAAGATGCAAGAAATGTCAAGAAATATGGGTCGATATGTGCCCATGGCTGACTGCTTGGCGCGAAAAGATCGTGCATTTCGCACGATTCATTACCAACGCTTAGATTGAATAACCACGATGACAACTTCGTAGTGCGAAACGAACGCGATTGGTCTAGAGTAGTTAGTAACTCGAGCAAGTGGTTAAGGCGTCCGCCGTAGAGATCGCGTCGTTGTAGACGCGCGACCTCGTTCGCATCACCGGCATGTTCACATGCATGCACTTTTGGCACTTTCGGCGCGCTAATAAACTTTTGGTGTACGTGATCGACAGCGGGTGCGTCTGCGATCTTTTCATTTCGAGCAACTGTCATGAACACAACGCTCCTTATTTCATACGTCTTTCGTTTGTGTCCTGTGAGTCTCCTGCGGAAATAAGTATTAGAGTGCCGAAAATAACCTCCTTGTCTACAACCTTGCTTTAATCTTTAAGCCGTAAAAAATTGACCAATCATAGTCGATTATTTTAAAAATAATCAACTGTGGTTGGTCAATATCTTATGGCTTAAAGATTAAAGCTAGGTTGTGGATAAAGGGAACGACGTGCGGTCGTCAGGACATATCGTAAGTACATTATTACAGAGTAATCTCTTCCTTTCTCGACGCACACAGCTCAGGTGACCAGACGTCCCGATTTTTCACTCTTTGTCCCGAAAATTTTCGAGTGCTATTCGGGACACTGATTTGTCATCATTTTCATTGGGTGCGTTCAGCGAACTCAACAGTTGCACAACAGTTGAGCAATTCATCAACATAATTGGTCTAAAGTTAGAGATCTAACAGTAAGGATCAATAATCACTGACCGCTCACTGATCAGCTATGTTTTCTGAACGCAGCCAATGATTGCCAAATAATTTTCAGATCTTTTTATTCCCCTTCCCCCGCTCCCACTTCACACATCTATGAAGTGTCCCGAATTCAAGACTGGCAAATCTGGTCACTTTATTACTCACTAGAATCATCTATCATGAGAACTATTATGTGAACATCCGCAAACGTTTCTTTCGAGGGACCGACTCACGCATTCCACAGACATCATCTTGCAAAGAACACCAGCCAATTTCTATAATATCCCATCTGTGAAAAGAGATATTGTTAAAAATGGTGAAAGCGCCACTCTCTCTCTCTCTCTCTCTCTCTCTCTCTCTCTCTCTCTCTCTCTCTCTCTCTCTGTCTCTCTCTGATAAAGGTCTGAAGCCATAGAGAGAGAGAGAGAGAGATCTTGCAAACAAAGTTATGTCCGCAGAGCGCGCGTCCACTTTTTGTCTAACGCCAGCATTAATCGCGAAGGATGTTTTGTCTCGCGCCAGCTACGCTGGCGAACTTTCGGCGAGCCGCTGCCTCGCCTCGTTCGTAAGCGGGACGCGTCCGCGTATCTTTGTCTCGCGCGGATCTCTTCAATTTCAGCACGCGCCAGCTAATTCGCGAATGCACAATAATGACGGCGTCACACGCGGGCGCACGCGTGCGCGCTTCGCGCGAGCGGCGGAAGTGGCGCGCCCGGCGTCGCGCGACTCGCATATTTAAAAGCGAGCAGCGCGCGCCGCCGCGTGTCGCTCGAATGTAAACTCATTCGGGACAAAAAAAAAGGTAAGGAAAAAGGAGCAGAACGCCGCCGCCGCGGGGGCGCGTCGTCACACGGTTTTCGCAAAAAAGTCGCTCCGCTCGGCGAAATGCGCCGCGGTGCATTCATATTTTGCACTTTTTAATCGCGTGCTCGCGCGCTTCGGCCGCGGAATGGCGCGAACTTTTATTGCCGCGCCGTGTCCGGCGTATCGCGACGACGCGCTCCACTCGGCGGAACGCGGCGCGGCGCGACGCAGCGCGACGTGTGCTATCCACGTGCGAGTCACGGAGAGCGCTGCTGAATAGTCATAATTAAAGCGGAAGCGAAGGCACGATCGCAGCGCGTTCGCGCAACTTTCTGTTTGACACCTCGCTTTTTTGTCTTCGGCCGGGACGTCCGTCGCTCACTTCACGTCGGCCATTGACGGTCGCTGTCAAATCACTGCCAGCATGTACAGCGCTGGTAAAACGTAAGAAATCATAATTTTTAGAAATTTATCTCTCTCAGTGCTGGAAATAGGTATTTTACGTAATACATCGGAGATTTGAGTAACAGAGAATTGTAGTAAAAGTATTTGCCATTTAAGAGTTTGATTTTTATATTCTAGTATGTTTTGTATATCAATTACTTAAAATAATATTTTTTTGGGAAAGTTGGCGTTTTAGTACATGAAACTATTATATGAAAGAGACATATGTGAAAAAGAATAGTGTAGATGTGGTCTGCAAATTGATTGGAGATATCAAATTTTTGCCATTTTACACGACTCTCCATTTTGTTATCAAAACTTTTCATTAGTATGATCCTGAACGAAATTTGTTTTTTTACATGTAGCTAAAATAACATTTCTCTTCAACGTTCTCGAATATGTTTTGCGTCCGTTTTCTATCCCGCATATAACAGTTCATGTTCAGTTTATGTTCAGTTATCATGAATCATGTCTAGCAAGATCAAAAAAATATTTGAACTTTTTTTCTTTTGAATCCAGATTACTATTAAAAAAATAATATAAAAAAATATTCAAATATTAATAGAGAGCTTTTCCCGTTTTCAGTCAGAAACTGCGTGTTTCCACTATTTGCTTGCAAATGCCCGTCAGAATAAAACTATACTGTTCAAATACGGCGGTACATTCACGTCTTCTCGTTATCACGAGAACGCCAATAGCACTTTTTGATAATAGTATTAGATAGTAGTAAATAGTAAATAATTCTGGTAGATATCAACCTGTTGCTTTCAGTCAAATTTTTCATCTAATGAAGCAGTTAATACAAAGTTCTATTCGCGAAACTGCATGCAAAAAACTATATATTACATTGAAGTGAATATTTCTAATATTTCCTAAGTTTAGACATACCGTTTTGCGATGTTCGCAATAAATCTTGATATATTAATTAAAAATATCGCGGAGGAGGGACACCCTGTATACATTAAATGTATACGTATATTCTGTGTTGAAAGCTTCCATATTCGTGCTTAAAGACCAAAACAATAAGAACGCCCAGAATTGGCTGCGTGTCCGGGAATTGCTACTTCCACCTTAATCGTTTCCTCAACAGCGGAACGATATTTTTCTGTGCGCGCGCGCGTTTCAAGCGTGCGCCGTCCCGACGACTAACAAAGTCGTATAACGGGAGTTGCGGATTTGTCGCGATATACCGGGCCGGAAGTCGTGCCGCACGCTAACGGATTCTCACCGTGCGACCATTTCACATCTACATGCGAGCGAACGACAACGACAAACGAAGAGAGGATTGACGCGGATTGAGAAGAGAATTCGTAATTCGAAATCTCGAATCTATATCACGAGAGGCTCACGCGAGGCGTGACGCACTGCACGCATGGGATGCAATTCGATTAACACGTTGGGTACAACGCGGCTGCAATATCTATACCGGGTGTTGGATTAATTAGAGACGGCTGTCCCGCGAGACGCGTCGTCAGGTGTGTGCATTAGTGGAATCAAGATCCGCGCGATTTAGCCGCCGACTCGTTCGCCAATTTTTCGCGCGGGGCCACGTTTTTTCACCGCCGCGAAAATCGCGCGTTTCGCTCGTCAGAGAATCAGTTAGACGTCAACGAGCAATTTTAATTTCACCGATCCACCTGTGTTACCTTTCGCCCCGCGAATCACTTCGCAAACGTGGAGCGTCTTGGAGCGACATTTTGCGAAAGTTTTCCGCAGTTGTCGCGTTTCGCGATTTACGTTCGCAAATACGCATATAAAATGTGCCGAACATCGTAACGTATTAATTGGAAATTTTCTCATTGTTTCTGTCAGATATGAATAACGCGATAAATTTGCAATTTACGTAATTATGTAGTCTGCGCAACCACAATTCAACCGAGGATTTTCGAGTGGACGCTCAAACATTCCTTTCTCGATCCAAAGGCTATTATTCGAAACGTTTTATTACTTTTTTTGTTTTTTGTTTTTAATAGTACTGCATTACATCGTGCGGAGATATTAACTCGTAACATTTTATGTATCTCGCCTTGCACAAACGCTTAACTGTCGCAAACGCATGTGCTGCACAAGAGTTCAACGGTATATTTTTAATTAAATGCGGTTTAGTCCACAATTAAATACTCTCCTCGTTAAACCCGTGCAGAACGCTCATCATGTCCAAAATGCAGCTCATTACGTTTTTAACAAACTCTAATTTAGTCGGCCGCGGCAACATCTCTCTTCTCTTATATTCATTACTTACAAATTATCCTCCGTTCTCTTTTTTTAGCAATTATTACGAATCATTAATTTACCTAAGAACAGTCGACAAAAGATTCGCGAAAATTATGGAAAATAATATGAAACAAGGATTGATTGGGTAACGTCTCATGTTTCGAAAAATTCTTCTCTCCAAGATAGTTTTGTACTTTTTCTTTTCTTTTTATTGCAGCAGTTTACAATTACGAAGATTGATCGTGTCGGGAAATTCGTGTGACAAAGAAGGAAGTAATTGTTTATCGAGGTGTGTGTGTGTTCTTTGTATATTCGCAAAATTTCCTAATTCTTCGAACGTCTAAATGGGGCATCTCGTCGTTTAACTTATCGATACATTTCCTCTTGGCATAATATTTTATTCGTTACCGCAATAATTATTATTACCAAAGGCGTGCTTCCATGGATCGGCCAATAATTTGAACAAATGCGAAGTGTCATTCGGTCGAATGTGCACAAAAAGCCCCGCCGCTGGGTTAAATTAATAATTACTATTTACAGTTGCATGAGCATAATGAATAATTATGGATTATCGGCTGAGAATAACAATTTACGACTCATTGCGCGCGAATGAGGTTAATTTCGTTGCAGCGGAATGCACCAGCGATTATTTATGTTCCTGCATCTCCGCGGTAAGCAATAATGTGATTACACCATAACGAGAAAGTTAGTTTCTATTTAAAGACGTTTATTACCGATTAATTAATACTAATGCTGGAAAAGCGACATGAATTTCCCTGATGTTTTGAAGTATACATATCCTGATGTTGAAGTATACACTTCTGTATATACGGGGAGTGTGATCAATAAAGCGGCCGAGACTCTCTCTCTGAA